CTCATCAATCCCTACATCAACAGCTGGCTTTGATACAATGACTTTCAAATAAAAGTGCATCTCAAAACATTTGACAAATGTAGTGGTGGACAAGGAATACAAGATTTAAAGATGATAACCAACCCGCACATCCTAAGACATATGTTTTTGAAGGCAGAAAAAGTAGCAGGCAACGTGGTTTTGAGAGAGTTCCAGAGGAGTTTGGTGATTGTATGGTCAGACCAAAAGCGAGATGGGAGTGGACAATTAGCCGGAGAAAGGAAGAATGGTGTAGGATGGAATGTAGGACTTCTATGGTGGGAACATGTGAGGTGGAGTGAGACTGTGTAGGGATTTGAAGACGGGGATAAAGATCATGAAATCGATTCTCTCGGGTCCTGGGAGCCAACAGTGCATGGCAAGGCTGATGTGTGAGAGAACATGAGTTGAAGAATCAGTTGTAGTTCATGTTTGGTGGACTAATACTTGAAACCTTTATTGATGGTAGCTTTACACCGTCTGGAAACCTTTGCTGTATGATCAATAAGCACACTCAAATCGTTTTCCTTTCCCACATCCACCAATGGATAAGTTTTAAGTTTGTACAGTTTGATTCTTGCTTGTTCCTTGTGGTTGGAGCACAGGGCCAGACTGCTCTCATCACATCTAACCTCACCTGACAGGAAGTTTACTTACTACAAAGCAAGCCACTGAGGGTCATTTTTTCCTCTCTCTCTCACTGACATACATCCACGTGTAGCATTTAACCCAGCAAATCAGCTAACAACTGATTACAGTAATTAAGTGACCTAAAAGAAAGTGGTCAGGTCTACCTGGATATGAAGCCAGTGATCTACCACTTCAGTTACCAGGCCAAGCTGGCGTGATGATTTTACAGAACGAGGAAAATTATATGCATCATATTTTTCATCATTTAAAATAAGCCCTTTAATGTTTAAACAACTGAAGAAAGTAACACTGAAGTGCACTGATGATCTTATGCCTACCAGTAGACTGGGTGACATCTCACAACATCATAAGAGGTGTATATAAAAGGAAGGCCCTTTAATCCATTGAATCTCATCTTTCTAGAACACCCACCCTACCGTATTCACTAGAGCATTAAATTGTTTTTTGAATGTGTCCAATGTCTGACTTAAACCACTCTTCCAACTAACCTATTCCAGCTGTTGATTATCCTCTGCGTAAAGAAATATTTCTTGGAGTCTGTCCTAAAATGTTTCTATATAATCTTGAATCTGTAATCTTTTGTCCTGCTGCTTTGCATTACACTGGCTGGCTGGACCACTGGGGTGAGTTGGATAATCTTAGCCACTGAAGGCCAACAAGGTACATGAGGCGGAGTGTGCACTAGGAGACTGGCCGGTGGTTTACACGCGCGATGGTCCATAGAAATGTATTTAAATATTTCCATTTCGGGCCCAGTCCACCAAGGTATGAATCCCGGATACCTTTAATCCGGTAAACCAGGGGATTTATTGCATTTGAAAGCTTTGCTCTGAGTTTACTTTTTCTATGCCATTTAATATACCATTACAAGGCCCTCTCTGAAATATTGATTCCAAGGCTGAGGAGTGTTATCTTATACAGTTATTCCTCATTAGCTTATCCCTCTAGGATAGGGGGAATCAATCTTGATGCTCTCCCTTGCATTAACTCTTGATCCTGCACAACACTCTTGTGTCTTGGTAACCAGAATTGCATGCAATACTCTATGTGTGGCCTAACCAGAGCACTGCACAGTTTGAGCAAGATCTCTGGGAATCTGAACTCCTGATGCTGTGCTATAATTGACTAGATGAAGTATCTAGGGAACAACAAAGCATTTCGAATTCATGGTATTCAACAAAAATCTGGAGCGCTTCTCACTTCTTCCTCATGTTAATATGTGATATTGTTGCTCAAGGGTAAACTGTTCCTTCCAACTCATTGAGGCAATCCAGGAAATTGCTTCAGTTCGATTTTGACAGCAGGACTTGCTTTCGTCAATAAAGATTCAGCAGTTATGTGATAACAAAGTTAGTTATTACTGCAAAGACTGGTCCAATAATTTAGATCTCCCATTAAAAACAACATCTGAGCAGTTCAAGATACACACACAAGAAATGTCTGGAATAAGGAAAGGTCATTCAGTCCATCAAGTTCACTCCTTTTCACAGAGGGTACAAAAATCCACTGCCCCAAGGATTTCACCCACTCACTGAAGGGAAAGTAATCACTCTCATTCCCGGAAGATAAATCTAGCAAAAACTCCAGAACACTCACCTATCGCCACTGACCTGACCCTCTGCTCCAGCCACGGACATTTCCCTGGTCATCAGAAGCACACTCTGCCGTGTTTCGCCCACAAAATACACAGTCAATTCACTTTACAGTATATTCTGTGAAGCACTTTGAGATGTCTCAAAGATATAATGCAAGGATTATTATTATTATGAACAATATTATGAATATGTACAAGATGGAAGCCATGCTCCTTGGCTCCCATCAACATTTTCACTCCTGCAGATCTAAACTTCTCAACCTCCCTTTGCTCTCCCTAAGACTCACCAATCCAGTGCGCAATCTAGGCGTTTGGTTCGACCCCAGTTGTCCTTCCTCCCCCTCATCCGGTCCCTGACTAGTACCGCCTTCTCCCACCTCTGCCACATTGCCCGCCTCCGACCGTACCTTACCCCAAAAATGCAGCCAAAACTCTCGTGCATGCATTTGTCACTTCCTGCTTGGATTACTCCAACGCACTCCTCGCCGGTCTCCCCAGCTCCACCATTCACAAGATCCAGCTCATTCAAAACTCTGCCGCCCGCATACTGACCTGAACCAAACTCCAAACCCACATCTCACCAGTTCTGGCCAGGCTCCACTGGATCCCATCACCAAATGGATCGACTTCAAGATCCTCACATTTATGTTCAATTCCATTCATTCTTTGGCACCTCCCTACTTCTCCAACCTCCTCACTCCCCAATCCACCACCTGGCACCTCCGCTAGACTGGCACCGGCCTCTTGCTGGTCTCTCACACCCTCCACCCCACCATCAAAGATCGCGCTTTCAGCCCCAAACCTCTGGAACACTCTCCCTTAATCTTTCCGCTTTGTCCCCTTTCAAGTCCCGCTTGAAAACCTTCCTCTTCGACCGTTCTTATGGACACCTCCCTCCACCACTCCCTCCAGGAGTCAAGCTCCACCACTGTTAAGCGCTCTGAGACACAACACTGTGTGGAAGATGCTACATAAGTGCAAGTTGTTGGTGTATTATCCCTCCTCAGTACCTGCATTACATGGTGCAATTACCAACTCAGCCACCAGGAGGCCCAAAACATCAATATTCATGTTAAAAGACATCACAGTTTACTGATATGGTGCATTTCTCACATAGTGCCACATTTGCCCGTCACTACAGCATCTTTGTCTTACCCCAAGACTACCTTTAATATTTGGCACACTAGGCTAACTCATGCAATATGGTGTATCGCCACTACCTTCTATCCAGCAAACCAATTTTCCATTGCACACCCCATAGCACACATCAACTGACAGTAAGGCATAAAGCACGACTGTCTGCTCTGTCTGCTGTTTTAATGATAAGCAATTTGAAGCGAGAAGAGCAAAAAAAACGAAATTCCCATCATAACATCCTATAAAACTGTGTAATAATGGAGCCTAATTTGCAACTTCTGTTAACCGCATAAATGCACCTTTACAGAAGGAATTACATGTGCCCTTTCTGTGAAAGGCTTGAGACATCACAACCCGCCTCACCCCTCCTGATCCCAATCCCCAGCTCAAGTGCAAATTCTGACTGGGCAGCGCCTTGGGACATCCTCCTAATCTGCAAAATGATGGATATAAAAACGTCATCACAGACAATTCGGGTGGTATACACAGAGTGATATCATATAATTGGTGGAAGTATGGACAAGATGAGATATAATATCATTAGGATATGAAAGAAGGAGGGGATGTGGGGTTCACATATTGAAGCACCGAAGGGAAAAGATATTTTTATATGAAATATCTTTTCAAAAAAAGTGATCCCTGCTCCCTCGGTGGAAATATACTGTATAAAATGAGCACAACATTCAGACAACAGGCTCTGTTACACAAGCTGTGTAAACACTTCTGAGGGGAGAGAATTATGGTACCCTTATTTATTTCATTTCAAACAATGAAAAGTATTCCAGAAATCAACTTTAGAGTCCCTTTCATTGGCCATCAATTCCAGAATTCAGGACACCTGGAATCACCTCTGTACCAATGCCTTTACACAAGGTACCTAATAGACCCCATTAGCTAAAATTTGGATGAAACTGGTTTTATTTTTTTTGGTAGCAATTAAAGGTTTCTTGTTCTCGACTCCTTTGCAGTTCAGTCAATTTGTTTCGAACAAATTTCTGGTGAGAGAGAGAAATCTTTCTCTCGCAGTCAGATCACAAATTCAGAAAATGTTGCCCCTCGAAAGAAAATTCAAATCGCACGTTAAGGTCAAAAGAAGGACAATAAAACCGAAATAAAACAAAATTAAATCGACTTAAGAGCATCAACCTCATTGCGATTTGCAACCCCTATATATATATATTAAAAAAAACTTCTAAACGTTGCAATGTGTTTTGCAAATCGCTTTGCAAAAGGATCTACAACCAGTCAATCACTTAACAACTCTACTCAATAAACAGCACCAGATCTGAACCACTATTGCAGTGGTTCCAATGTGGATTTAGTTCGCTGCAGCTTACAGGCACGAGTGTGTGGTGCGAATTCGAAGAAACTCGTGTATTTTCTGTGTGTTTTTTTTTATAGACGTAAAAAAAACGAAACACAGCGAGCAGTCAAGAGAAATAACGAAGTGGAAACACAGTGCCTTTGCTAAACTGACAGCTCAAGTGTGAGCAGAGCTGACAGATAGTTGACAACATGCTCGAATTTTATGCCAGTAGTCCTTGATCAAAGTTTACACTGTACCAAAAAATGACAAAAAAAACGACCAATTCTGTCTTACCTCCATTTTTGCCCAGGGGTCCCCTTCAAATAATTTTGTCTTGACTTTTTTTTCTCTCTCTTTCTCTCTCTCTCTCTCTCTGTTGCAAAGTGTGTCCAGTCTGGAGAGGCTTCTCTGTCTGTGTGTGTGTGTGTGTGTCTGTGTGTGTTATCACTCCTCTCTCTCTCCTCTCTCTCTCTGCTCAGATCGCAGACTCGTGCTCTGCCACTACACACATGACTGACAGACAGAGACACCCACTCACTTCTGCAAGCTCTATAGATCTCGATGACACAACTCTGGTCAGAGATAGATCGGTCCCAGCAGGCAAGTCTGAACCATCAGACACCAGGGGGGAGAATGAGCACTCCCCACCAGAGTCCAATGCAACCTCTCTGTGGGTCTGATCAGGTTTGGAGATGCCCCCCCCCCCAACTTGTTCAGATATCATTTAAGCTAACATCACAGTGCTTTAACTTCAGTGCCCTGTTTGTGCAATGGATCTGCTGGCTCCCATCTGCACACTCCTCGAAAAAAAAAGTAGAAGGTTGCAGGCTCCTCTGAACAGTGTACACATGTCAAATTCTTTTGCAAGAGGCGTTCCTCTTGGCAGCACAGTGTGTGAAAAAAAAGTCACCCCCCCCCCCCCCCCCCCTGATTTGAGCTCTCGTCAAAAGCTTCTGCAATAACTGCAGCAGTATGCCTGGCGACTGATGCAGCTCTAAACCAGGTTTTTTTTTCTTTTTAAAAAAAAATTCAAAAATGAAGAGCACGAAATATTTAATGTGGGAAAAGTTCGCCTTTTTTTTCACATCTGATCAAGAAAAGTTTTTTTTTTAAGAAAACACAAAAAAAAGCTTTGTGGTTTATCTCCTTTTTTAGTATTCAAGTGACAGGATCCTTTCGTTGATTGCTTTTGAGTGTTACCGTATCCTGTCAGCCATTGCAATGAGGTTTCTAAGTGCAGCAATTTGAAATTTCGCAGTCGATTCACTTTACAATATATTCTGTGAAGCAGTTTGAGACGTCTCGAAGACGTGATAAGACACAATATCAAATGCAAGGATTATTATTATTAAACAACCAAAATATTTAGCACTGTTTTTAATATAGTTTTTTGGAGTCCATTTAGAAGTACACTAACTGTCAGATGTTCATTTCAGTTTAAAGCCTGTGCCCCTTAAAGAGGGATTGAACACTACTGACCGCTTCCTCTTTCACTCCTGACACAAGAACGTTCGGTTGTGTGATTTTTTTGTACTTATTGGAAGGAAGCCATTGAACGGAAGCTACTAGGCTCTGAGACAAAGTGGAGGAAATGCGCTGCAAAGAAGATAACATTAGAAAATCAGCTACACATATGCCAGTCCATCCAGTAACGAAAATCCATCTACCAAATCACAGGGTAGTAAATTATACACAGAAATGATGAGAGGTGCTTGCAAAGAGGTTTCAACTAACATTGAGTGAGGAAATGCGGGGGGAGGGGATGATAAAATTGCTATCACACAGAACAGATAATTAAAATTGGGACCGAATCCCTAGTGACAGGCCAGAGGGAGATAGAGTTCCGTAAAGTTAAACATTAGTTGTCTTCCACCCTATCCATTCATATTAAGTTTTAGAATTGTCCCTCAACTGCATTGGCAAATCATCATGATGTAAACAGGTTTTAAAGTTGGATACTTATTATTCGATATGATGTTAAGCAAATGCTAGATTACACAATAGTATCTGTGGTTATCCTGTTAGTATGGGTGCCATTTCACATCCTGATATTGTGTTTGTGTATGTTGTCACTAGCAGAAAGCAACAAACACACATACAAAATATGAGCATTGCTGAGAAGCTTTTGCAAATCCAAAGATGTCAAGTTTTGATCAATTGGACAAGAATCACAGAATATTACAACACAGGAGGCTGATAATCCCTTAGGAAAAAATAAAATTAAAAAAATGTGATCACTCAATCCATGGCTGTTTGTGGGACACTGCTGTGCACAATTGGCTACCAAGTTTCGCCCACAAAATATACAGTCAATTCACTTTACAGTATATTCTGTGAAGTGCTTTGCGGCGTCTCGATGATGCGATAAGTTAGGTAAGCAGGACCCTGCAGGGGACAGAGTGCCCATTCCATTCTAATACATATTTCCATTCGTAGGTGGGATGCTTGGAAATCTCGGGCTATTTGGTATGGCTATTCTTAAGCATGATCAGGGATTTCCAGATCAGTCAGACTCTTGGCTGACCAAAATAAATTGTAGATAAATGTCAGCTGTTTGTAGGACTTTACCTTTTACTCTGCTGATGTGGTAAGAGTTAGAACTTCCAAGAGCTGGTTGGTGGAATTCTCACAACTTTGGAGGCTCCTCTTGTAGTAATCTGTGTCCGGTGCAGATCAGGATGTGAAAGTTGGTTCCTTCAGTCTAGCTGGTGTGCTGTACTGTAATAGGCCTTCAGAAGTACAACTTTTGCAGTTACATCACTAATTTGCTTTCTATTTTGAGAAACAAAAATAAGCTCACAGAAACTCTGAATTTCCTTCAGGACTCTGCCAGAGACTGCGGGACTCTTGCTCATGATGGAAGTGTTTGGTAGATTGCTCTTTGTATAGTGTTAACTGGAATGTTCCTGGTCCATTGTAATTTCATGCTCGGAGGTGGGGGGGGGGGGGGGGGGGGGGGAGAAAAAGACATGTTTTTGCCATTAAAATGCTGGAGTGAGGAGTACTTACTGGAATATAAGGGATGGGGAGGGAGTTTCCTACTTTGTTTAAAGATAACTGGGGTACTTTTGATGTTCAATTTCCTGCTGTTGGAAAGTCCCAAATTTTTTCCTCTATTGAAGTGTGACTATCCTGTAAGTATGGGAAACCACCACAGCTGGACATGTAGGTAGAGAGTTTCATTTCCAAGAATAGACAGCAGTCATAAGGAAATCCATGGGCTACTCTTGGATGGAGCAGGACTGCAGAGGGGAGCAGTACATGTGTTACAATAAAGAAGGTGATGAATTTGAGAAAATTCTAAAGTGAAAGATGGTTTTAGCCCAGTACGAATGCCATATTATGTGCAAAACTTGAAATGTTCTCAGCTTGCCTATTCCTCCAAGAAGCATAGGTTTCGAACACTTCTGAGTTAAGGAAAATGAATAACATTGATTAGTTGCCCACAAAATACACAGTTACACCACTTTACAGTGTATACTGTGAAGTGTTTTGAGACATCTCAATGACGTGATAAGACGCTATATCAAATGCAAGGATTATTATATTGTTATGATAACCTCAATTTTTCTACTTTTAGTTCATTGCTGCCAGGTGTCTCATAACCACAGTGACCAACTTATGATTCAGTTTTCCTTCAAATAACAAAACTGTGAATTCAAGCCTTACCAAGAGACGTTTAGATTGATACCCGATATATTGACATCCAAAGTTGAGGTGCAGTATTAGTACAAGGATTCCTAGGACTGTCCAAGGTGGTTTCCTAATGAAAACTAAAAGCTGAGGAAATTTGACTAGCGAAAAATGCCCACAATGATCTTTCACATACCACTGAAAAGCCTAGACTCAACAATATTAAATAAGTAACGGAAATTGGTTAGATCTCAGAAGTGGACCATTCTATTTCCCCATTTTCCAAAATACCATCTATAATCCTGAAGATTAACATCCCTGCTCTGTAGTCTCGGTGTAACATACAGACTGACAAACTCACTGGGTGTACATTTTATTTGGAAATCTTGGTTTTGGTTGAATGTTTTTTTAAAGACCAGTTTATAAACTGAATTAATTTCATGAGGGTCTTCCTTCCCTATTAACGCATATTTATTCTTTCAAATCCTGCCCTCAGCACAGTGGGTGTGTAGGCATGATTATTTTGGATTCAGTTTTATTCCTTTGCAAATGGATAATTCAGCGGCTTCTGGAGTTTGGAAACCCTTGAGAATAGAAGAAAGCAGATTGGACTCTTTAAAACAGACATGAGCCGCCAGGAATAGGCAGATATACAGGTTAATAAGATCAGTAGAAACCTCCAGATTCAACATGAATTCAGTAAATATTGGGCTGCAGTCTAAAATTAGGGAACCAAAATCTCCACTGTGATTACTCCTATATTTTCCATAATCTTTTATGTAGGTGCATTGCATTTGTAATGCATTGGTTTGTAAGCTTGTATCAGATTGTCAGGATCAAAGTAAAGCAATATTTTCTTAAACGTTAAACAGTTCATGTCAATTTCCGCTATTTTCTTTGGCAGTGTAAACCTAATGTTTCTGACAAAACAATGGTGACGTTACTTTCCTTTTATAAATATCTTGTGCCCTTTTTGTGTCATTGTTTCAAATATAACAACTGTGTGAGAGCCTATTTAATTTCAACCTTTGTTCGTTTGGGTCACTTAGGTTCCCACTGAAATCAATAGGAAACAAAACCTTTGAAAGTTGCAATATGCTGGCAGGAGTCAGAACTATGAAGAAATAGTTGGCAATTAGGATAAATGTAGCACTAGAAAAGTTACTGTAAATATTGTTGCGTGCTGCCAAAACAGATAAACAGCTTCAAGTGCATCCAAACATCATTCTGTGAAATGATGTGCAATCTAAACCAAAACACACACATCACAAACTGTAACACAAACATCAAATAGGAAATGTATCATTATATCATTAGATTTCGAGGATGTACTGACAATCTTGTAGCATAAAAAGGAGACCATTTAGCTGATCGAACTTTGGCCTATGAATTCCTTCAAAATAAATTTGGTCACTCAATTCATGATTGCTTATGGGACACTGCTGTGTGCAATTTCACCCGCAAAATATACAGTCAATTCAATTTACTGTATATTCTGTGAAGCGCTTTGAGACGTCTCAAAGACGTAATAAGGCGCTATATCAAATGCAAGGATGATTATTATTATTACTGAAGTGGAGGTGCCAGCTTTTCCGCTGGAGCTAACTATTCTAGACCATTTCTAATTGACTTTAACATCTTTGTCCTGATCTTTGAATTCCTAGCTAAGCAATCTCTTACAACCCTCCTCTCTTGCCTTTATCCTTTGCTCTTCCAATTCTCGTCTGTTGCTCACTCCTCGCGGTCCATAATTGGTGGCTGAACCTAATGACACTGTTCTTCTGCCTGTCAAATGCTCTTACAAAATTTCTTCACCTTGCTTCCTCTCTACCTGTTTTCAAAACCACTTACAACAACAACTATTTATATTGCGCCCTCCATGCCGGACACTTACATATCTCTTTGACCGCACTTTCAGTCAACACCCTTAATTCTCTCTGCTCAGTGCTCCCCATCACATTTTGTGAAGTCTTTCAAGACATTTATCCGACATCTAGCTAGGTGATCACAATTTAATTTAAATCCCTTTAGTTTAAACACTACTGACATATAAAAATAACAATAATCCTTGCATTTGATATAGCGCCTTACCACGTCTTCGAGATGTCTCAAAGCACTTCACAGAATATACTGTAAAGTGAATTGACTGTTTATTTTGTGGGCGAAATAGAAATATCTATTATACAAACA